TTTTGGTCGTTTCTTGATAGTGTCTAACATTGTTCTTGACTCTCACTTCAGGCATCTTTTGGCTTTTATGATTAATTTAATGATCCTGGAAGATTCCCATCCAGTTTCTCCTAGACTGCACTGACATCTAATGGTAACGCAAAGTGGCTTCCCCATTTGTAATGGCAAGACAGGCCAACATACAGGTATTTTTGTTCTTCAATCAGTATTCATTTTAATAAGACAATATGGAATTACTTCCCCCCAGTTTTTCGTGGAAAGTCTGATTTTAAACTTTCCTCTTCTGACAGTGAATCTACTATTATGTTCTTGGTGCTGCACTGTTTTTTTTTTGGGGGGGGGGGGGGGGGAATATCTTTTGTTTAATTTCAGATTCTTGAAATGTCTAGTAAGCAGCAGTAGTCACGTTCTAAGGAACATTGGTGATTTATTTAAGCAAATATTTTATGGGTTGAGTAATTCCTCTTTGTGGGTAACCCATTGGTTTAGATTTGCAGAAAGACAACCACATTATGCCTTAGGAAAGAATGAAGGTCATAAAATGGATTTCAAAATTCCAGAATGTGTTTTCTGGAATGAGGTTGAATTTGGACAAATTTGACTTCTTCCCCCTTAAAAAAAAAAAAAAAAAAAAAAAAACACACCAGAAAAAACAAACTGGGGAACCATTTGGGATATGGAATATCTCTATTGCTGCTAACTTTGACTTCCAACTATGATGATGGTGTCTACTTATGAGCCTGTGAGTCCTTAATTTTTGTTTTTTTTTTTTTTCTCTGCACACCTTTGTGTAGTTTCAAACCAGGCAACATATATTAGGCAAATGAAAATCAAGATTCCCAAAGGTAACAGGGAGCTTCAAGACGTCCTCAATTACTGATCTACCAGTCTGTACTGTGAATTTCTTTTATTTTTTGGTTTTCTTATTCATCATCTTTCTTGGGTGGCCTTTCATGGAAAGGAAGGTGATAATGAGGCAGAGGTAGCAATCAATATTCCACCTTTTGTAATTGTAGGGATAAAAGTATATGCTGAAAAAAGCTGATACTCTACATTTTTCACTGAGTAGCCTATCTAATGCATAGTCATGTATGATAGAGCTGGTAATGTCTCTGATAGGTAAAGGCTTTCACTACCTGTTTAGATTTAGTGCAAATGTCATCTGCTCTGCATAAGGTTTTTCCGTTAGACTGCTATAAAGGAAACGGCCACCACCACACTGCAACCTTTAGTGCTTGAGGACTTTCTGTCCTAGTAATTTGGAGTCTGTCTATAACTGTAAGTGTGCATGTAACCACATATTTTGCCTCTGGTTTGCCTTTTTTTATTATGCATTTGTTAGCATTTGCTTCCTTTTCATCCTCTTTCTCTAGAGAAAAGATCATGAGCTTTGAATGGACCTTCACTGAAAATCTCCTTACTCCCAGGTTATGTTTATCCTTTATTACCAGTGTTACCTACTTGGAAAACTGAATTGAAGAATGCTTTCTTAGTTATCACACCTAATTTGGCATGTAGGATTTGGTTCCTTCCCTGTAGAACTGTTGAGTGGAGATCTTCTCTCTTTTCCTTTTTTCTTGAAGTCTTAAAGTAAGCCAATCCTCAGAGAACTAAGTGCACTAGATCTCAATACCCAGAGCCATGCCTTATTAAAAAATAATGTTCAAAGCTGGAATCACTCATTAAAATTAAATTAAAAATTCTTAATATTCTCTACCAACAACCTACATTTTATCCTAAAAATTGTGCTGCCTAAAAGGGTTCTGTATGTTGACGCTATCTCAAATAGTGGTAGCAACCACTTGACATAGAGTAAGCAGTGTATTTCCTTAAATCATTTAGATTTTTACTTTATCTTAAGGCCCTGAACTGCAGAAGTCTACTCTTAAATACATTTTGATATTTTGTGTTCCGATTCATAGTTCATATTTAGGCAATGTGTTTGTATTTTTAGTGACTTTCTCAAATACAATTATTCATGTTGGAGTTTAGTAATTGCAGTAGCTAATGTGCCCATAATTATAAGGCTTTTGTTTTGCTGGGGAATGCTTCCCATATCATCATCTCCTCTTTGTGTTAGAACATAAAGAATAATAAAACTGTGTGTCGGTTAAAATTAAAACTATGTTAACATGTTAATTTAATTTTTGCTTTAAAATGTTTTCTGAAACCTATGACAACTTGCTGTGAATAAAAACAAATGAGTCAATATTTTAAAAAATGCTTGAAAGAAAATAAAAAGCTTGATTTATATGGTTTTCTTTGAAGCTACTGTAGACAGAAAACATCTGGTGACACTTGCAGCAGTAGGTCAATAGTTACAGATGGTCTCTTTTTTTTTTTACAGCTGTCATCCCGCTTCATACATAGAGTGACTACAGTGGAAAAACTCTTTTGCTGAATGGATAAATAAAGCAAAGTGCAAGTAGGACAGCAGACATATATGTTTCTACAACATGGGGTGTTAAATAAGCCATAAAACCTTTAAATCAAGACAAGGAATGTTTGGTATATTCTAGTTTCTGATCCTCATCCTCTAGAGCTTTGCATGTGCCTATTGAAGAACTAGATTATAAAACAGAAATGACAGAGAAATAAATACAAGTTTTAGGGTTGATTCTACCTGCAAGTTAACCATAGGTCAGCAGTGCCCTCGTGGCCAAGAAGGCCAATGGGATCCTGGCTGCATCAGGAGGATGTTGCCAGCAGGTCGAGGGAGGGGATCCTGCCCCTCTACTCAGCTCTGGTGAGGCTGCACCTGGAGTGTTGGGGGCAGTTCTGGGCTCCCCAGTGTAAAAGGGACATGGAGTTTGAAGAGGGACATGGACAATGCTGGTTGCCCTTCCAGCGGGGGACAACCAAGATGATTAAGGGACTGGAACATCTCTTGTATGAGGAGAGACTGAGTGAGTTGGGCCTGTTTTCTCTGGAGAAAGCTGAGAGGGGATCTTATCAACATGTACAAATACCTGGGGGGAGAATGTAGGGAGAAATGGGCCAAACTCTTCTCAGTAGTGGCCAGTGACAGGGCAAGGAGCAATAGGTACAACTTGAAACCCAGGGAGCTCCATCTCCATGTGAGGAAGAACTTCTTTGCTGTGAGGGTGCCAGAGTCCTGGCATAGGCTGCCCAGGGAGGCTGTGGAGTCTCCTTCTCTAGAGACCTTCAAAACCCGCCTGGATGCTGCTCTGTGCCCTGTGCTCTGGGTGTCCCTGCTGGAGCAGAGAGTGGGACTAGATGATCTCTAGAGGTCCCTTCCAACCTCAACCATTCTGTGATTCTGTGAAGTTGGGGGTACTGAGTGGGTGGGTGGCTATAGCTGACTTTTAAAGTTTGAAAAATGTACATTGGTTTTGGGGTAATGCTTGCATCATCTTGTAGCAGGATCCATCCATTAATTGAAGATTATTGTATATTGAAACAAGCAATAGTAGGGAAATTTTGAAAATGGCAGCATCCTTTTTCTTTATTTAAAGATGGGAAATGGGCTTCATTCTTCATCTTTTTTTCTCCTATTCATGTTGGAATGTTACATTAATTTGTCATTATTCAAGACTGCGTAAGAATCTCAACTCTGAGGATGAAGAAAAAGCAGTGGAAGGAGTGTGAACAGGAGGATGAGCTTGAGTAAAGCGATAAAGTAAAATCTTGATGACTGTTGCACATTATCTACATTTTAAAATGAAAATAAACACACAGAAAGGAGCGTTTTAAAATCCAAAAGTGCCAAGCAGTGCCGATAAAGATACCTATTTTAATGCAAATGTGCAATTCTTGATATTCCAACTGTTTTACTTGATCGTTTCACTCCATGTACATGAATCTTGGTAACCCACAAAGAAGCCAGCAGATTACAATGCTCAATCATTTGCCAGGCCATCTAATGCTCTCCGCTAATGTCGAAAGCTTTTGAGCAGTAATAAAAAGGAAGGGGGAAGTTGATTACTTGGCTGCTTTTAATGTGTGCTGGGATTGTAGTGTGGTGTTTTGTGAGCTCAGTTCTCAAAGTCTGTCGGGTGTCTGAAGGAGAATTAGTGTGGGATTCTGAGCATGCATTTTAAAGGCTCTATATACTTGGCGTTCCCCAATGTGTTTACTCATGTGCGTTTGGCAAAATCTACCATGGGGTTTAGGTTTGCATGGAGATATTTGTCATGGCTCCCTCCCCGTGTCCCCTTCCCCCTTCGCGCTGGTTTGGCTGCGCACGCGGGCGCCTGCTGCAATCCCCTTACGCTGCCTGGCCCAGCTACGCAGGATTTGAAAAGTGCTTAGCTGTATTTGCTGCCAAAGAGCCTGCCTAGTCATGCATGAGGCTGCTTTAAATGCCATTTAGGTGATATAGATGTTGGCATTCTGCGTTGTCCCTGGATGTGCTTCTTCTGCTCTCTGCCCCTCCGTTCTTCCTTGAACTTCCCTGTGTCAAACTGAGTTGTTTTTATTCTTGAAAGCTTAAAAGTTGAGAGAGAGAAGGGTGTTTTGTCGACTGTTGCAAGCATCGTGACGCAAACGCGCGTGCGTTGTAGTGCTGCAGGTGCTCAGAGTTCTGGCACTTGATGGGAATCGTGCCCCTGGGCCTGGGTGAGGGAAACAAAAATAACTCTCCTGCCTTGGCTGGGTGTTCAGGGAAAGGGGGGAAAAGTGTTTGAGAGTCAAAAGGCAGAAAACAGCCGCTGCCTTGGCGAGCTGTGCTCTGCGCTTTGCATCTGCCCATGTTTTGTAGGGCAGAGGCGGTTTGATGTGAAACACCAAGTTGTCCAGTGGGTTTAATAAATTTGTGTGTTTGCTCGTTTGTTTAAATTTATGCAGAAATTGTCATCTCTGAAATGAAAGTTGAAGAGGTTTATGCTTTTGTTCACAGGTGGAAGCAGGTTTACAGAAAACTAGATATTTCTGAGTTGTGGCTGACCTGAGAAGTCCATCACCAAGCTGTGCGGAGACGTTCTTTGAGCTTCCTCTCTTATGTCTCTAATGGACAAACACAAAGTGAAGCGGCAGCGTCTGGATCGTATATTTGAAGGTTAGATACTTGCATTTATAATTTTTATTGCATTAATTAACTTTGCAGATTGATGATTTTTCTAGAGATTGGAACTTTTTTTTGGTCTTTCGTTTTATTTTTAATTAGGTGTATTTCCTGCTGCGGTTCTATTAACTGTGCATAAATGCTCTTGTTAGAGGAAAACAGAGCTAGGAAAATATAAGCAAGTAGTGCTTGACTTGTAATGTTCTGTTATACAGTAAGTATGCTTTCAGCTTGGCTTTTTGCAATGTTTTCCCCAAATGTCACAAAAGTTTGTGGTTTCTTGTAGAATACCAACCACAAAAGGATCAGAAGGCCAGATAATGGGCTCTGAGATCTGTCTCTAAGCTTCTTTTATGTCATATACATTGATTTAAGATACTGAATCTGATCCCAGGAAGGAAATAGAAAAGAAAATGCTGACCAGCGACCCTCAAACTTTATTTAGTGTTAATAAAAATTCCTCTGGATGGGATGCACTCAGTTTGGGTCAGTCATTTTATCTTGAGTCACAAATCATTGAGTTGTTGATTCCTGATACTTTGCATTCTTTTTCTTTTTGATTTGACCTGAAAATAGAGCAAGGGATAAGGTGTACTGTGTTTATTTATTCATTTATTTATTTATTTATTTATTTTTCTTACTGCATGAATGATTCGGGCTCTATGAATTTGTGTGTTGAAAAGTTAACTGATGTAACTGCAAAAAGCATTCAGGTTTATGGGCACATGGGCTTTTCACCACATCAGACACTGAAGTTGTAAACTCCAGTTGAAGCAGTTACCCCTCAGTTCTTAGATTTTTATTTTTTCCTAGCGATTATGTTGGTGTGAGCAGTTCCTGGCAGCCTATTCCTGTCCCATTTTTATTCCCTCCACGTGTGCCAGTATTGTTAGCCTAACCCCATAATGAGATACTCGAGAAAATGATTTGCATTAAAAATAAACCTTTTTTTTTGTTGGATTATTTTCCATTTAGGTACGTTCCTCAGTGCAGGTCACTGTTCAGCTGACGAAAAGCTGCACTGAGATTTGAGAGGGGGGAATGAGAAGCGCAGGGGCAGTTCGCCTGGCACTGCCAGCCAAGGGCATTCTCCAGCGCAGCAAAGGGAGCAGCTTCTCACTTGCTTTAGCTGGTTAGTCCAGCTGTAAGTCTCTGCTACAAAGTGGCTGAGCCCGTTGGTTGCTTGATCCCAAACGTTCCTTTCTGTCGTTCCTGGATCCGTTGGACAAGCAGTTGTTGGAAGCAGCTCGCTGAAGGCTGATTCCTGCACAAATCCGGGCGGATGTGCTGCTGAGGATGAGCAAAGAGGGATGGCCCTCATTCCTGGCACCTCTGCAGCAGCCTCTGGGCATGGCACAGGGATGGCCTGTGGCTGTCAGGCCTGGTCCGGCTCCCCCTGCCCTCTGGGTTTAGTCCTTAGGCCCTCCTTTATGGTCTCTGCCTGTCCCCCCATAATAACTGTTGTCTTGGCGCAGAGGTTGGTGCTTTTTGTGTTTATTTTGCTATTGTGGAACTGAACTGGCCACGGGGGATCAGGGCCGAGGGAGGCCGGCGGAACCCGGCTCCTGTGCGGCAGCGAGCACCCAGAGGCTCCACGTGGAGGCATTCCCAGCTTCCCGCCTGGATCCTCTGCACAGCGTGAGGAAGGCGCGTGGTGTTGGTGCGGGGAGGAGCGGCGGCAGGCACGGCAGTGACGGACCAGGAGCGCCCGGAGGCCGCGGGCTCTGCGGTGCCGTTCAGGGACGCTGCCCTGTCAGCTCCGCTGCTCTGCCCCGCTCTGCGCTGCTCGCTCCGTCTCCGCGTCACTTCTGTTTGTGCAGCCGTGCAGCGCGGGGGATTGATCCAGTTGACAATAACTGAGAGGGAAAAAACATACTTATTTTACTTTTTTAAACCCAGCTTCTGAATTCAGCACATGCTAATCAAATAGATGCCCTGGAAAAAAAGGGTGGGCAGCCTGGGTAGAAAATGAGCAATGAGAGAAAAGGGGGAGATAAAATGGTCATGCAGAAACAGTTAAGGAATTTTTCTCTTTTTTTCTTTTTTTTTTTTTTAAATGGTTGCAGAAATCTAATTTGTATTTTTAAAATGTCAAGCGGTATTCTGCTCTTGAGTGTCTCTGCTCAAATTTCCAAATGCTCTTTGGGGTTTGTAAACATATCTCTGGCTGCTGTTTTTAAACCACTGTCCCTGCCACTGCGCAATGCAGGCGATGGGGCAAGAACTGGGAGGCTTGTTGGTTTTAGAAAGACCTTTCTCTGCGTAGGGTCCAGTTCAGGCTTAGAAATTAAGTGTGCAGAATTGTTCCCGGAAGCTACCATAATGCAACCTAAATATTATATATTTTGAGATATGAATCATGTTTTATGAAGCTGAGGAAGTTTAAGGAGGTGTATAGATGTAATGACTGGCGCATCGTCTCCATCAGCTCTTTTGTGCAGTGCTTTCTGTACAGCTTTCTTCTCTCAACCTTTTTCCTCAGAAGAGAATTATTTTTAATACACTTTTCTTCTTGCAAGTTGCACTCAAACAGGTTACAATGAGTTCCCAGTAACTGCTGATTACAGATGTGTTTTCAGAAATTGTTTATCATGCAAGTATGTGATGAGCAGGCATTAGTATATGACTGTGTCCGTAAAGAGATGCCAGTGTCGTGCTGATTGTGACACGCAGTCTTTCCTTAATCTTTATGGCTTGGGGGGTGGCAATGGTCCTGGGCTGGAATTCAGTTTCCAGAAATGCAGCGATGTGGGCCCGGCTCTCTCAGCGAAACGTTGGCGGTTGCGGACACGCGCACTGAGTTGCACGTGGCCTTTCCCTGCCGCGCTCGTGGGTCACCCCAGGGCTCCCTCAAGCCGGGTAAATGTGCATGAGAAGTGGCCTTGGGGTGGAAGGGCCTCGGCGGGGCTGTGGGCAGGTTGCTCACTTGCTTAGAGCAACTAGCGGCGCAAATTCAGCGACTGAGCGAGCAGGCGTCGCGCGTTTGCTCTTGTGAGGTGACGGTAGTGCGGCACTGCCACTGCTGTTAATACTCAATGGGGAGAAAAACCTGATTCTATTACTGTGGGAGCAATTAGCTCGCTTTTAATGAAGCTGAGCAAGTAACTTGGTCTCCTAGGTGCCTGGGATTCCCTTCGTTGGCTTCTTAAATATGAAATTGAATATTTGCTTTTAGTCCTGAAGCTGTTTTCAGGTGTATGTTCCTGCGCATTTCAGTAGACTGCTGTGGTCTTGCACGTATCATCTCAGAAGGGTGGTATTAAAAACTGGATTTGTCATCGCGGTTTGTACAGTTTTATCAATTATTATCAATTATTAATTTATCAATTAGCATGTATTTCAATGATGAAAGTTGATGACCTGTGCCTTGAAAAACCCAGATGTTGAGTTCTGGTGTTTAACTTCCACCAGGCACTGGGAATTAGTTAGGCATAAAGACAGGGTTCTGCGCAGTCTGAGATGGTTATGTGTAAATTTATTTTGTAGTTTATAAAATAATATTACCGTTTTCCCCTCAAAGATGTGTAGTATGAAGGCATGTGAAAGATTAATTAGTTTCTGATTATATTGTTCTTTGTCCCCCTCTCCGGTGAAGCCGGTGATTGCAAAATATAATTATAGCAGTATACATTTGGCAGAACAGTTGGAAGTGTCACAGAGCAAAAAAATAAAATGTGTTCATTTTCTGGGTAATTTGAAAAATTCTGAATTTTTTTTTGGCACTTAAAAAGTCATTGGCTCTAATTAAGGTATTATTTTACTTTATATTGCCGCAAAACTGTAAACAATGCTGTATATTTGCTTATAATCTACAAATCTTAAATTAAGAGTGTGGGTGTTACACCAGCCTTTCCTTGGGAGCTACCTTGGGTGTCTGACCTGGCAAGCTCCGAGTTTCCTGGGAATCAATAGATGAAATAGGAAGGCCATAGAAGGTGCCTGTGGTGTGAAGAAGCTTATGTTTTTTTCTGAATGTTCCGTGAAGGGGCTTGATGAGCACAGAACAATTAATCTTCTCTTATTAAGTTATATAGTGAGTGTCACGAGCCAGTGCTTCTCGCTGGTTTGAAAGGAAACCATCGGTGCCCCTGTCCTGCTTTTAAAGAGGCTGGTAGGTACTAGTGGGACTAAGGGGAGGAGGAAAAGGATTTCCCCTCTTGTAGCTTTTTTTCCTCTCTTGTTTACACAGGTATTAGTGATTAAGCTATCACTTAATACTGGAAATGCAACCGCAAAATTGCGAAAGTGAATTTCTTCCGTTTGGTGATGGCTTGAAACCAAAGACTGCTTTCCACAACCGTTTTTATGTGGCGGTTTTAGGAGAGACTGTAGGGTGCCTCAGTTCAAGCCTGCTGAGAGGCTGCTTGCTCCTACACGGAGGCTCCCTGTTCTCCTGCCGCTGGTTTTGGGGAGGAGATAAGTGTCCCTGCACACGTCAGAGCCTCTTAGCAGATCCTGCCAGCCCTCTCCCTCTTTGTGAAGCACTGGATTACACCTGAGGGTCACTCCTTGTACACCTCTTCCTTATGTCTCTTCCTTTTTACAGCTGCACCTAGAAAACTTGGAAGTGTATTTTAGCTGTTTTAACAGCGCTGTTCTATTGCCAAAAAAAGAGAGGAAGAGTTGATCAGGATTCTCAATTAGAAAAGAAAATGCATAATAAGAGCTTGAGTTTCTGAAATCTCAGGTAAAATCTGTCATTTTCTGCTCTTATGAAGGACAGCCTATCTTTGGACAAGTCCGATTACGGGCACGTAACCATGTGTGAGGCATTTTGAAGGACAGAGAAAGTGCACAATAAAGGGATAGTTTCCTTTCAAGGGTATGATATAGATTTTCCTTGCCTATCAGAAAGCAGATCAAGAGTTATCTGTGTTTGTACAGCATCTTTTTCGGCTCGTGGTGCTACGTAGCATTATGTTTCATGAGAAGATTCTTAACTTCATACTTGATCTGACACATCAGGAGGAATGCAAAGAAAAATTGGATTGTCC